GAGCGAGAGGCACCTGAGTCCAGTGTGAAGGTGTGCAGTGCTGCAGTCAACTCAGTACCAGGGGGCACGGACGCACTAGCACCTAGGGCAGCAGCCTCACCAGGACCTGTGGGAGCAGACGCACTAGCACCTAGAGCGGCAGCCGGACTGGCCTGAATGCCCGGGTCGGGCGGAACACGCAAGTACTGAGCACCCTCTCCACTAATAGACATGGCATACATGGCAGTGAGAATAGTATCAAAGTCTAGAGCCCAAATATCAACACCCCTCTTTTCCAGATCAGCCCAGCGCGGCAGCTCAGCGGCATCAGGAAACTGGGTGCGCCACGCGTCGTTAAGGCGCGCGAAGCAGCGGTGCGTGGGGTGCGGCCTCCCACACTGCTGGCCGCTGCGGTCACCAGTGCGAATGACATACGTGCAGGTAAAGCCACGCTGCGCATACCACTCACGGGCGGCCTGAAGCGTCGGGGCGGGCTGCTGACTCGGGCCTCCGCCAGTGCCTCCACGACCACCACCGCCACCACCACCGCCTCGGCCACCTCCACCCCTGCCGCCGCCACGACCACCTCCACCTCCGCTGCCGCCTCCACCCCTGCCACCGCTCCCGCCGCTGCTGTCTCCTCCCCCACTGCCGCCACTAGCCTCCCCAGTCGCGCCTCCACTCCCACCGCCTCCACCCCCACCTCCTCCGCCACCACCCCCACCCCTGCCTCCCTTGCTCCTGCGGCGCCCGCTCGAAGCAGACGCGGTCCCGACCTTCTCAGCACCAAGGAGGTCGACAGCAGCAGCAGAGGCGACAGAGGGGAGGAGGGGGGAAGGGGAACACCCCTCGAAGAACGGGGTGCGGGGGTCACCACGAGAGGTGCCTACAGCGACGATGCTCGCCTCAGCTGCAAGCAGTTCCTTCTCGAGGAGGGCAACAGTGAGCTCAGTGGGGGAGCGAGAGAGGAAGTGGTCCCTGACAGCGCGCAGAGAGTCAGGGAGGCGGGTGACGATGTGGTAGAGAGTGATCCAGAGCGGGGGGGGGTTGCTAGTGAGAAACTCGGCAGGCATAGCAGCGCGAAAGCGGGCCTCACTAGTCTTAAGGTGGGTGATGAGGTCTGCGACAGTGTGAAAGGAGGCTAGGTCGGGGAACAGGTAGGGGAGAGTGAGGCGGCCTAGCGTAGCAGAAGCGGGTGAGGAGTAGCGGGCAACTACAGCGGTGTAGAGGTCCTTAGCGGTCATGCACTGGCCGAAGTGCTCGCGCTCGTCTAGCGGCAGGGAGTTGCGAATAGCAAAGCGAGCGTGCGCATCACGAGTCTGCCACTGAGAGCGTAGAGTGCTGTCAGCAGACGTGTCAGGGGCAGTAGCATGGCCTAGGGCGTGGTCGTACAGCGAGATGTCTTCCTTGGCAGTGAGCTGTAGGAACAGGTGCAGGTCATCTAGCCAGGTTTCGAACTTCACCGGACGGCCCTCGGCATCGAAAGCTAGAACGGGAGGACTAGCCATAGTGACAGTAGTAGGAGTAGGAACTAGGCCGCTGGAAAGGTGTGCGTAGGGTCAACGGGACCGGCGGGGCCGCTAGGTAAGGCGCGGGCGGGGTCGACTGTCCGTAGTGGCACACGAGCGGCAGGAGTAGGGAGCGTGGCAGCAGGAGCTGCAACGGTGCACTGGTGGCAGCTGCAGTGGCAGCAGTGTGCGCGGTAGGTAGCGTAGGGGCAGCGGCGGCGCACGGGCAGCGGCGGCGCACGGGCGGCAGCAGTGCACGTGCGGCGACGGCAGGAGGCGGCGGTGCGCAAGCAGCAGCGGAAGCAGCGCACGGGCGGCAGCTGCGTATGCGCACGTGCGGCAGTGGCAGCGGCGCATGGGCGGTTGCGGGCAGCGGGGCATGCGCGAGCAGGCGACGGGCGGCTGCGGGCAGCGGGGCGTGCGCGAGCAGGCGACGGGCGGCTGCGGGGCGTGCGCGAGCAGGCGACGGGCGGCTGCGGACGGGCGGCCTCTGCGACGGCGGGCTGCGGGCAGCGGGGCGTGCGCGAGCAGGCGACGGGCGGCTGCGGGGCGTGCGCGAGCAGGCGACGGGCGGCTGCGGGGCGTGCGCGAGCAGGCGACGGGCGGCTGCGGACGGGCGGCCTCTGCGACGGCGGGCTGCGGGCCTGCGGGGCGTGCGCGAGCAGGCGACGGGCGGCTGCGGGGCGTGCGCGAGCAGGCGACGGGCGGCTGCGGGGCGTGCGCGAGCAGGCGACGGGCGGCTGCAGCAGCGGGTGCGTCAGCGTGGCGCACAGGGCAGCGGCGGGCAGTGCGCGAGGCTACGAGGCGCACGGGCAGCAGCGCAAAGGCGCGCGGGCAGCGGGGAGGCAGCGTGACGGGCCGCGCGCGAAGAAAATAAAGCGCGCGCGGGCAGCTGGCGGGGCGCACGCGTGAAAACGGCCGCGCGCGATAAAAAAAAAAAAAAATGAAAGCCACGCGCGGGCGGCTAGCGAGCTGCGTGCGCGTGGTAGGTAGGTAAGGAGCGCTCTAGGACGCGCAGGCGCACGAGGCGCACAGTAGGTAGGTAGGTAGGTAGGTGGGCCCTAAGAACAGTCCTAGCGACGGACCTGCTCTGAAACCATGTCAGTGATAACGGACTGGAATGATGAACTAGAAAGGATTGTGAGTACAAATATGAAACCCTAATGTTGTGACCCCCCTATAGGCTAACCCACTACAGCCTACACAAACACAACATATATAATGTTTGACATCCGTCGGCAGTTGTCTGCGCCTGACGAGCCACATCGACTTCGGGATACCATTCCGAAGTCGCCTTCGTCATCGCGATCTCGACGACGTTCGCGTGCCTCTGCAGAATTCGTCGAGCAGGTTACCCAATCGACCTGGACACCACCAGGTGCTCCCCGTCGACCACCAGGTGCCTCCGGTCGACCACCAGGCCCTTCTGGTCGACCACAGCTCCCGTCGAGCTACCCCCTGGTCGACGGACCCCTTCCGTCGACCAGAACTGCTTCGTCGACCTCCCGGTCGAGCTGCAGGTCGACGGGATGCTTCGCGGACCTCCCGGTCGAGCTGCAGGTCGACGGGACGCCCCCCAGTCCTCCCGGTCGAGCTGCAGTTCGACGGGATGCTCCCGAGACCTCCCCGTCGAGCCCTAGGTCGACGGACTGCTCCGTCGACCTCCCGGACGGCCCACCCATCGCCCAGGCCAGTCAGTTGCGCCCGTCGAGCACCCCTGGTCGACGGAAGCTCCACAGTGACATCCTGCAGCTCGACGAAGCCCGTCGAGCAGCTCCTTCACTGCGAACGGTCGGCTGCTTCACCCGTACATCCGACCAAGTCGTCGGCGTTGCCCAAGCGAGGGCGGGGCCAACACTCCATTCCCGTTAACAGGGCCGCGTAGGGGCCGCGAAGGAGCCGCCTAGGGGCCGCGAAGGCGAGGGGAAGGCCACTAAGTGGCCGCGATTTTCAGGGCAGGGCGCGAAGCGCGCTTCGGGCAGGCTAAAAAAAAATTCTATGGTGGGCCTTAGGAAGAAACGGTCCCACTAGGGAACCCGCTCTATACCATATGAGAATCGAGAGGAATGGGGATGATTAGAAGAAGTGGGTTCAAGTAGGAAACCCTAGAAGTGTTGTACCCTATAGTGTCTACCCCACTAGAGCCTAAATATACAGTGTCATATAAGTTTGACAAGAATGATAGTCTAGCATGTATTGTCCTCATAAATTTGTACTTGAACATGTGTAAAGTGGAGGGTTTTTCATGCAAACATCACTCCTGTAGTAGTATTGATCCCAGTCCAATTCAAGGAGTAGGCTAGTGGTGGATCCATTGTTGTATGTTTTGGATTCCACCGATTTGCGGGATGTGTATCGAGAGTCCCCTTCTTTTCTGTAGCCACTTCTCTTTTCCAAACTCCCACCCAGCGAGCGGCTTTACATGGAAACACCCTTACTAGTAGTGAGACATGACGAAATCGGGTACGTGTGTTTCCTTGCATCCTAGTCCGAGTCAACAGTACACACGATGTCCGTTTGACTAACCCAAGGTTGCCTTGTGAAGGGGGCGCTTAAGTGATTCATGCATTTCGTGGAGGTTTCGTCAATTCGCATCGGGCAAAAAGGGCTTATAGCAAAATTTTGTAACTCACCGTTGACTGTTTGACTTCGGTCTCTTCTGTTTCTGTGGTTCGTATTGGTTGACGTGCTTGTAACGTGGGTGCAACTGCCCGGGAAAAAACCTTCGTGTGCAAGGTTTCTGGAACGTGCGAGGCAATTTCGCGTGCAGGGGTTGGGCATCTTGTGTAGTGCATAGACCGCGGCGCATGCGAAAGCGTTTACCGACTCGAATCGAAGCCACTTTCGTAAGGTGTCTTCTTACGACACATCGCCACGTGGGAGGCTGTCATATATTTGTTTCAATCGAGCCGCCAGGGCAAATGCTTATCACGCTTGCATGCACTGCCCTCGGCACAGGTAAAAAATGACTCGCTGGAAGCTTCGCGAAAGATCGCGACGACATTCGTCGCACGAGGTTTCAACATACTTCCGCAAGGATAAAACATCGCTCCGACGAATACTTTCAGAAACGGACCTCCCAGATTGGTTGACGAACATTTTCGGCACCATTGTGATTCGTTCGCAAGCAGCGCGAAGCGGGAAGCTGCTTACCTGTCGAGACCTTCGCAATGGCATGCAGCCATTTTTTAACCCTTTTCGAGAGGCTTCTTGATTTCGAGGGAGATTTCTTGCCCGGGTCGCGAGATTGCTTGCCCGAGTCACGAGATCCCTAGCGCGATTCGGGCGACATGGGCCCTCTATATATCTCTCTGTCTCTCAATCTTTGTCGTGAATACTTGCTCGCTAGCGAAATTCGTTCTGTCGTGGCTGATTTCTTGTATGACTACGAGTACTTCGCTTGTACCGTAATCGCTGTTCTCCTGATCTCCGTTACTAGCAGCTCCGTTTGTAGCATCAACTCGCTTGTGTCCGTCTGTTTTGCCACAGTCCGCTCGATACAGTCACGCCATCATGCCGGCGAGCGGCGAGACCGCCATAGGCATCGATTTAGGCACAACGTACAGCTGCGTGGGCGTGTGGCAGCATGACCGGGTTGAGATTATAGCGAATGACCAGGGAAACCGCACCACGCCCTCGTTTGTAGCATTCACTGACACGGAGCGGCTGATTGGCGACGCTGCTAAGAACCAAGTGGCCATGAATCCCACCAACACGGTGTTTGGTAAGTTTGTCGGGTATCAGTTGTGCTTACAGCATATCTGTCGTTTGTAGCATTCACTGACACTGAGAGGCTGATTGGCGACGCTGCTAAGAACCAAGTGGCCATGAATCCCACCAACACGGTGTTTGGTAAGTGCTTACTCCCCCCCTCCCCACCCCTCTCTCTTTCCTTCGAATTTTTGCTCTCTCCATCCTCCTCTTCCCCTTCACCCTCTCCTCATTCCGGGTTCCCATCTCGTCTCGTTTCCCTCCCCCGTCCCCCTTCATTGATGTCTTTTTTTACAAAACACAGCATAAGGCCGTTTTGTTGCCTCTCCTCCTCTCCCCCCCCCCCGCCCCTTCCCCACCCCTTTTTCTCGTTTACAATCTGTTGTTCGGATTGACAGGCTCTGGTTTCCCTTATTATGTTGTTGTATTTTTTTTTAGGCACTGTTCAAGGCGTTTCCTGGTCCGAGGAACAAGTCCATGAAACAAGTGCAATACACGGGGGGATAAATTTACCCCTCTCGCTCGCTCTCACCTCCTCCCTTCCTCCATGCCTCTCTCCTCTCCCTTTCCCCCCTTCAATCCTTCCGGGTCTAACCTTCCCAATTCCCTCTTCTCGCCCCCGTTCTTCAGATGCCAAGCGCCTCATCGGGCGGCGTTTCTCGGACCCTACAGTCCACAGGCCGACATGAAGCACTGGCCCTTCAAGGTCTTTTCCGCGCCGGGAGACAAACCCATGATAGAAGTGCAATACAAGGGGGAGAGCAAGCGGTACAAGGGTGATCCAGTGGCCTCCTCCCCCCTCCTCACCTCGTCTCTCCTCCTCTCTCTCCACCCTTCCTCCTCTTCCTCTTACTCTTGCTCTTCAGATGCCAAGCGGCTCATTGGGCGGCGTTTTTCAGACCCTACTGTGCAAGCCGACATGAAGCATTGGCCCTTCAAGGTCTTTTCCGGCCCAGGAGACAAACCCATGATCGAAGTGCAATACAAGGGGGAGCGCAAGCAGTTCGCACCCGAGGAAGTTTCCTCGATGGTTCTCACCAAGATGAAGGAAATCGCCGAGACGTTTCTCGGGAAGAAGATTAAAGACGCGGTGGTGACTGTCCCGGCTTATTTCAACGACTCGCAGCGGCAGGCGACGAAGGACGCGGGCGTTATAGCGGGGCTGAATGTAATGAGGATAATCAACGAGCCGACGGCTGCGGCTATCGCTTATGGGTTGGATAAGAAGGCGAGCCGCAAGGGCGAGAATAATGTGCTGATCTTCGACCTGGGCGGCGGGACGTTTGATGTGTCGATTCTGAGCATTGAGGAGGGGATTTTCGAGGTGAAGGCGACGGCGGGGGATACGCATCTGGGAGGGGAGGATTTTGACAACCGGCTTGTCAGCTTTTTCGTTCAGGTGAGGGGGGTTTTCAGATGAGAGGGGATTTGCTGGTGAGGGGGTTTCTTAGTGAGAGAATTGCAGAGGCGAGCCGTAAGGGCGAGAATCATGTGCTGATCTTCGATCTGGGCGGCGGGACGTTTGACGTGTCGATTCTGAGCATTGAGGAGGGAATTTTCGAGGTGAAGGCGACGGCGGGGGATACGCATCTGGGAGGGGAGGATTTCGATAATCGGCTCGTCAGCTTCTTTGTGCAGGTGAGTGGGTTTCTCAGGTAATGAGGCTTTGCAGGTGAGTGGGTTTCTCAGGTAATGAGGCTTTGCAGGTGAGTGGGTTTCTCAGGTAATGAGGCTTTGCAGGTGAGGGAGGTGGCAGGGGCTAGTCGCACAGGTGGAAGGGGAATCGTTGAGGTGAAGGCGACGGCGGGGGATACGCATCTGGGAGGGGAGGAGTTCGATAACCGGCTCGTCAGCTTCTTTGTGCAGGTGAGGGGTGTGGTTACGGGATGTAAGCAAAGAACTTGTGATGGGTCGCCCAAGAGGGACAGTGAAGGCGACGGGCGGGGATACACATTTGGGAGGAGAGGATTTTGACAATTGGCCGGTCAGCTTCTTTGTGCAGGTGAGACCTGGTAACATTGATCGCATGCTTAGTCTTCCTGTTTCCGCCTGCTATAATCCACTTCCCCAACACCAGGAGTTCGAGCGAAAGCGTAAGGAGGACATCAGCAGCAACCCCCTCACCTTCGCTGTCTCCCCCTCATCACCTTTCTCTTCACCCCACTCCCCCACCCCTACCTCTTCCCCTTCTCCTGCCCCTCCTCCGCCCGTCCACCAGGAGTTCAAGCGCAAGCACAAGCACAAGGAGGACATCAGCAGCAACCCCTTTCCTCTCCCTCCATCCTTCACTCAATTACCCCTGCCACCCCATCCCACCCCATCCCACCCCACCCCACCTCACCCCACCTCACCCCACCACTACAGGAGTTCAAGCGCAAGCACAAGAAGGACATGAGCAGCAACCCCCGCGCCATTCGCCGCTTGAAAACCACATGCGAGAGGGCCAAGCGCACGCTCTCCTCCACTGCTCAGACGACTATCGAGATCGATTCTCTCTACGAGGGGATCGACTTCTACAGCACGATCACGCGTGCACGATTTGAGGAGCTGAATATGGACCTGTTCAGGAAGGTAAGCATTTAAGGGGAATGGCACGGTAAGATGGCCAAGTACACGCTCTCTCTCTCTCTCCCTGTGAGCGAGCCAAGTGCACGTTCTCCTCGACGGCTCAGACGACCATCGAGATCGACTCTCTTTATGAAGGGATCGACTTCTACAGCACGATTACGCGGGCTCGCTTCGAGGAGCTGAACATGGACCTGTTCAGGAAGGTAAGCATTTAAGGGGAATGGCGCGGTCAGATAGCCAAGCGCACGCTCTCTCCGACGGGGCAGAGCAGACGAGCATTAAGATTGATTCTCTCTATGAGGGGATTGACTTTTACAGCACCATCACTCGGGCGCGGTTTGAGGAGCTGAATAAGGACCTGTTTCGCAAGGTATGGTTGGGTTGTGAGTGGTGTGTATGTGCCTGCATGAGGGGATCGACTTATACAGCACCATCACTCGGGCGTGTTTGGAGGAGTTGAATATGGACCGTGGAAGGTAAGCATCTCAGGGGATGGCACGGTAAGGTAGCTGAATGTGGACCTGTTTCGAAAGGTACGCTCGTTTCTCCCTCTGTGTACCAATGAGTGTGCTGCCAGAGCGTGCCTGTGAAACCTTCTCCCGCTCTCCCTCACTTCTCCCCACCATCAGAGCATGGAGCCAGTTGAAGAGTTCCTCGCAGACGCCAAGCTGAGCAAGTCGCAGATCCACGATATGGTGCTGGTGGGTGGGTCACTCCCCCCCTCCCCACCCCGCCCCCCGCTCTCCCCCCCCCTCCCCCCCCCCGCCCCCCCTCCCCCCCCCCCGCTCCTCCCCACACCAGATCATGGAGCCGGTGAAAAAATGCCTTGCACACGCAAAGCTCAGCAGTCCCAAATCCACGACGTCGTTTTAGTCAGGCGGTTCCACGCGCATTCCCAAGGTGCAGCAGCTGCTGCAAGACCTCTTCCACGGGAAGAACCTCTGCAAGACAGAAGAAGTGAATTATTTCCCCGATTCTCCTGTTTTTTTCTCCTGTTTTTTTCTGCCTATCCTCCCCCCCATCAGAGCATGGAGCCAGTGGAGAAATGCCTTGCCGATGCCAAGCTCAGCAAGTCCCAGATTCATGATGTCGTTTTAGTCGGCGGCTCCTCGCGAATTCCCAAGGTGCAGCAGCTGCTGCGGGACCTCTTTCACGGGAAGAACCTCTGCCGCTCATCCCCCTCTCCCCCTCCTTACCCCCCCCTCCCCCCCAAACAGCTGCTGCAAGACCTCTTCCACTTTCCCTCTCCCCCTGTTCCCTCACTCTCCCTGTTCCCTCTCTCTCCCCTTCATCCCATCAGAGCATGGAGCCAGTGGAAAAATGCCTTGCAGATGCGAAGCTCAGCAAGTCCCAGATTCATGATGTCGTTCTCGTTGGCGGATCCACGCGCATTCCTAAGGTGCAGCAGCTGCTGCAAGACCTCTTCCACGGGAAGGACCTCTGCAAGACAGAAGAAGTGAACCATTTCCCCGATTCTCCTGTTTTTTTCTGCCTATCCTCCCCCACACCAGAGCATGGAGCCAGTGGAGAAATGCCTTGCAGACGCCAAGCTCAGCAAGTCCCAAATTCACGACGTCGTTTTAGTCGGCGGCTCCACGCGAATTCCCAAGGTGCAGCAGCTGCTGCAAGACCTCTTCCACGGGAAGGACCTCTGCAAGAGCATCAACCCCGACGAGGCCGTCGCATACGGCGCAGCCGTGCAAGCAGCCATTCTCACTGGCCAAGGCAGTGAGCGTGTGCAAGACCTGCTTCTGCTGGATGTGACCCCGCTGTCGCTCGGTCTGGAGACGGCCGGAGGGGTTATGACGGTGCTGATCCCCCGGAATACCACAATTCCGACCAAGAAAGAGCAGGTTTTCTCAACGTTTTCGGATAACCAGCCGGGGGTGCTGATTCAGGTGTATGAAGGAGAGCGCGCGCGGACCAAGGACAACAATCTCCTCGGGAAATTCGAGCTTTCGGGGATTCCTCCGGCACCGCGCGGGATCCCGCAGATTAATGTGACTTTTGATATTGACGCGAACGGGATTTTGAATGTTAGTGCGGAGGATAAGACGACGGGGCACAAGAATAAGATTACGATCACGAATGATAAGGGGAGGCTGAGCAAGGAGGATATAGAGCGGTTGGTGCAGGAAGCAGAGCGGTACAAGGAGGAGGACGAGCAGGTGAAGAAGAAGGTGGAGGCAAAGAATGCGCTTGAGAATTACACGTACAACATCCGGAACACCATCCGGTGAGTTTTCACTGGTATTGAGTACTTCACCACATCCGGTGAGCTGGTTACCACATCCGGTGAGCTCGTTACCACATCTGGTGAGGGTGGGAGGGGGAGTCTGCTGGTTACCATGTTTCGGTGAGTTGCTGAGTGTGGTTTGGTTGTGAGCAATGAGGAGGATGAGCAGGTGAAGAAAAAGGTTGAGGCAAAGAATGCTCTCAAGGATTAAACGTACCACATCCGGAGCGCCATCCGGTGAGCTGGTTACCACCACACTGGATGCGACAAGAAGGTGGAGGATGCGGTTACCAGCACCGTGGACTGGCTTTTCCACAACCAGCTGGTTACTCAAATCCTCGCTTTATTTCCCCTGCCTGTTTCTTTGATGGACAGGGATGAGAACGTGGGCTCCAAGCTCCCAGCAGGGGACAAGAAGAAGGTGGAGGATGCGGTTACCAGCACCGTCGAGTGGCTGGACCACAACCAGCTGGCGGAAGTGGATGAATTTGAGGACAAGCAGAAGGAACTGGAAGGGATGTGCTCGCCCATCTTCTCCCGCATGTATCAGCAGGGTGGTGGAGGGCCTGCTGGTGGTGGTGGGATGGGTGGAGATGACCCCATGGGTGGTGCTGGTGGTGCTGCTGGTGGTGAGAAGGGTCCTAAGATCGAGGAGGTTGACTAGGGTTGAAGGGTGAAGCAGCAGGTGTGGGCTGGAAGAGAGGGAGGGAGTAGGAGCAGCAGGAGCCGAGTAGGTGCAAGTGGTGGGATGGATGGTGTGAGCTGATGGGTGGTGCTGCGGCTGCTGGTGGTGGTGAGAAGGGTCTGAAGACTTTGAGGTGTACTAGAGAGGGATTTGGCTCAGCTGGTGGGATTGTTGTGACGAGGCAGGCGGGGAGTGGGAGGTAGGAGGCTGTGGAGTGGAGGGTCAGCATTTTGAGTATCAGCTCTAATCCATGCTGGAAGGGGGCTTGTTCTGGTGGCCACAAAATGTTATCATCCACTAGACGCTTTGTACATTTGTACAGGTTTCCTAATGTGCATTGCAGCTTGTTGGTGGTTCATTTCACTTACGGGAGGGTGTGTGGTAACTGTAGTAATCTAGTAAGCCAGATGAAGCAGATGGCATAAGTCTGCACATGGAAATTCCACTTGTCAAGATGTGCATTCATTTAATTTTCATACGACTATACATGAAAATCCCAATTCTACTCTCTGATGCTACATCCCTGTCAGTAAATACCATCTGTGATTTATCCTTGCCCCCAGAAGTGTACATGTACCGTATGAGAAAACCAAACCCTGCTGCTGTTGACATGCTCCATGCTCTCAACCAAGCTTGCAATATTCTCTGTAACTTCAAGCCGTCAAGCCCCAGTAGCATACAATTGTGTCCATTCCTTAGCTGCAAGGTCAAGCACAAGTATAAGTCAGAAACAGGAACGCAGAAACTACGCAGGAAACACATTAAAACGACTAGTATTCAATCTAATTACCTGTTGCAACTGCCTCTGCTTCGTTTGACTTCCAGTGCTTAGCAACATTGTCAGCCAACGGATCATCGGGGTTTGGGGCACTCAGCAGGGCTTGGATACTGCAGTCAAATAAATAGCACTTTCAGCAACCAGCATCCGGAAAGACGACGTGCTACATGCGCTTCAACTGGAAACTACATCTCACCTCAAGAGAACTGTTCGAATCTGAAGAGCTGGACTCCACTTGTCCTTTAAGATATCCAAGCAGATCCGGCCAAGCTATTGTGGAAGGACGGACAATATGGTATGAGTACTGCATCCATCTGATAAGCAGACTCTCTTGACGAGAACTTGAGAGGACGTACCTTATCGATGTTTGGATGGTAGATTCTTGTAAGAAAACGAACCTGCAGAATTTCAATCATCACACGCGCATAAGCTACCAGAAACTACAAGCTATCTACGCGAGGAAGAAGAGCGTCAACAATACCTTCGGAGGAGCCATAGGATACTCTTCGGGTAAAAACAACTCCAGTTTGAAGATCCCACCTGTGACAGCCCACGACGCCTCAGATGGACATTTTGAAACATTGCTAACCAAAACGGACGGACTTGACCATACGGAGGCTTACCCTCATAAGGAGATTGAGAAGGCCCCAAAATCATCACATTAAAATAGCGAAGGTTTTCTTCCGAAGGTGATGCACTGATACCCGGAGCTGCAGCCACGCGGAAAACATGTGTCAGAGCTTCAGACAAGCGGAGTAGACGGACGCCTACCAAGTAAACTGAAAGCGACGTGAAAGCGACGTGAAAGCGACGACAAAGCGATCACGTACCAGGCTCGCTCAACAGTCGTTGAGTTTCCTGAAAACAATATGGCAAAACAAATGAAGATGTAAGAACTGTGACAGTAATGGCACTGCGATCATCGCGCTGTGCAATCGCTACTGTGCTCCTACCTTGATTATTCTTCTCGGAAGGTTGCTGTTCGCTGCAACAGCAGCCATCCTGTTTCGACTGCTCCAGAAACCCTAAAGTGACTGTTAGCAGACACACGCGCTCTAAGAAAGCACGCTTTCTAGGGAAAGTTTAGATGCTTAACACTTGCGAACGATGCGGGAAATCCAAACAGAAAATATCGCCTGAGCTAGTGTTGCGTGCTTGACGGTATTATTGCACTAACGTCCTGTTAGAGAAGCTATACTGCTGTGCAATAATAGCTTCTGGCTAAGCTGAAGGTTGGGTTGGGTGATTCCCAGCATGAAATCAAACAAATCTCTCTGAACTGAAGGTGTGACGGAGGCAGACGGAGACAGATAGGTGGGGGGGACAAACAGACGGTGACCTGCAGAATCGTCGAGAGAGAACAACAGGCAGGAGGAATTACCACAAACCACAAGAAGCACCGGTATGAGTTATAAAAGAGAACATACGGCAAAATGAATAACGCAGTTGGGATTGAATAAATTGAACTTCAAAATGATCCACGAGTGCCATATTTATCAGCTTTGCACACAAGATTCATGTACCTAAACAAGTTCTGCAACAATTCGAAAATGCAGTGTGCTTACAGGCTGGAAAATGGTTACCACCACCCTGAAATGAATGATTAGGTTAAAAATTGCTTTGGCATGCCCTCACAACAATTTTGTTCACACTGAAAACTTACACTGCCACCCCTAATGGTGAGCTTTGTAAAGTGGTCAAAGCCTGCCATGTACTTGGTAAAGACTTCCATCTGCTCACAGTGATATGCTACAGCCGCTTCATCGTCATAGTAATAAAGCAGGCAAAGCTCTCGCGCAGTCCTAAAAAACTTCGACTCGTAATCTCCAACTCCAAGGTCCTGAGCTTGGGCAGGCAGGTGATATTTCTAGTCAATCCCTTCTTGGCACTCACATTGAACAACCTTCGAGAGTGCAGAAAAGCACAGTTTCTTCACTTTGACGCGCAGGAAGAGAGGTATTGCAAAATCCTGGAAGACTTGAGAAGCGGGCTTGCAACATTTGGAAGATTTGAGGATTGAAGTGTCAAGCTTTGGTGTTGGTGGGATCGGGTATTTGCTGCAGGGCCCATCCACCTTCAGGAACGCCAGGTTCGAGTGCGCAGTCAACCCTCCACTCGATTCCCTGAGCCAGGTTCAGGATGAAAATGTGAAGTCTTGGCATTGGTGGGATCGGGTATTTGCGGCAGGGCCCATCCGCCTTCAGGAACGCCAGGTTCAAATGCACGGTCAACCCTCCACTCGATTTCCCGAGCCAGGTTCAGTCCTCCAGCCTGTGCATCAGGTTTGGCAGAGCCCCAATCTCAGTGGTGGAGTTTATGGCTTGGAAGACCCTCAGGTTTGGAAAGAGGCAGTGCGAGCCTGGGACGCCCGGGCAATTGACTTTCACCAGTTTGAGATGTGTGATTGTAGGGGAGGCCCAGAGGGACAGCCTGATGCTCTGCTTGTTATAAGGACGACCGTGTAGCGTCAAAGACTCTAGAGCAGGAGGGAGAAACGTCTGAAGAGTCTCGTCCTGCCGCCGCCACTGCTCCCATGCCGCAACCTCTCTCCAGTCCCCCTCGGAAATGCACAGGTCTTTTAGACCTGTCAGATGCAACAGCCTAACCCCGGGCCTGGAGCTCAGGTTTGGAGCAGCCCCGGGCATATGGAGCCGCGTCAGGCTCGGCAGGTGCCTGAGGGATGGTGGATGGGTCCTCCATCGTCCCGAAGTGAGAGTCAACGAAGTCAACTGCTTCAAGCCCTTGAAACGAGGCTCGTCCGCAGTCCCACCCTCCTCCTCCCCATTGCCCGCATTGGCCCTCCTTGCTGCTGCTGCTGCCGCTGCTGCTACCGCGTATTCCCTGCTGCTGCACAGGTTCGTCTCTAGTTCCTCCAGCCGTTCGAGCTCCCATATCGAGTCCGGAAGCAACTGGATATAGGAATCAGTGCTATGGTAGCTAAAGTTGCGTCGAATTCTCAAGCCGCAGTGAGGCCGGCAGGCCCAGAGGTTGAGAGACAGCTTCCGAAGCGAGCGCTCCAAACCAAAAAACAGGTCCGGAGAGAGGTTCGGTGTTTCATCACGCCACCAGACCTCCGAGCTTATGCGAAGCTCTTGCAACACTTGCAGTTGCGAGAACGGAGCAGAGGAAGCGAAAAACTTCTCGTTTGAGCAGGTCAGGTGAAGATGAAGTGAACGGAGGTGGGGGAGTGTGGAAGCAAAGGCGGTGGGCGAGAATGAGTTGGAGAGGGGATGGTGAAGAGGTAGGGAGAGATGCAATAGTAGCCGGTGTTGTCGCTGATGCTTCGAGCCTGGTAGCAGTTCTCTGGGTAGGGGTGACTGACCCGTTGCACCTGTGAGTGGCACCGAGCCTGCCGAACCTGCCGAGCCTCCAGAGCTTCCCGAGCCTCCCGAGCCTTCCGAGCCTGCGGTCACTGCGGAAGAAGAAAATAAGGGCACGGTGCTGTCTGCCGGGCCTGCGGATGGCGAAATTGCTGTTATCAAGTCTGGCAAGTACTGAATTGCGGCGAATTGAACCATGTCCGCTTGCATGTGGAACGACTGGAGTCGCGGGCAGGAATCAAGAATTATAGCAAGGTGTTCAGTCAAGATGGCGTTAAACGCGGTGAGGCGTAATCCGAACGCAAATCCTTCGTGAAATTGGATCTGGATCCGGCAAATGCGGAGCGAGCGACACGTGGCAATTGCGGATAGCGCTTCACGCAGTTCGCGGAACGGACTTTCCTGGCCAGAAACATTTTTGACGAAGATTGGGATGTTGACGGACGTCAGGTTCGGAAACCGTCTAATCGAGGCGCCAATCTGCTTTCCGTCGGGTGCCGGAGAGACGCGCTGTTGAGAAATCTTCGACAAGAGGAGGTCCGATACAAGCGCCGGGGTGAACCAGGGGGTTTTGCTTGTAACGCGGACGTGATCATTATGCGGCATGCACAGTAACGGGTCGTCGTCTAAAATCCATAGTGGCACATTTCCCGAGTGCCACCCTGTAACGAAACTACAGTTGCTGACGTCACGGAAGCAAGGCTCCCAGCGCGCTGTCCGCACGTTGTAAACAACCGAGAAGTCGCGGGTTCGATTCTCAAAGACGTCGCGCCACTCCTTGCAGACGGTGCGGACTGCGTGCGCGTGTTCGGGTCGCTGCAACCGCCGAAAAACACGTTCCAAAATGTCGGCTGATAGGGTTACTGATTTCTGCTGCTCCT